CGCCTGCCCTCACCCCTGCTCTCACCCCTGCCCTCACCCCTGCCCTCACCCCTGCCCTCACCCCTGCCCTCACGCCTGCCCTCACCCCTGCCCTCACCCCTGCCCTCACGCCTGCCCTCACCCCTGCCCTCACCCCTGCCCTCACGCCTGCCCTCACCCCTGCCCTCACCCCTGCCCTCACCCCTGCCCTCACCCCTGCCCTCACGCCTGCCCTCACCCCTGCTCTCACCCCTGCCCTCACCCCTGCCCTCACCCCTGCCCTCACCCCTGCCCTCACGCCTGCCCTCACCCCTGCTCTCACCCCTGCCCGCAGCTGTGCCCTCACGCCTGCCCTCACCCCTGCCCTCACCCCTGCTCTCACCCCTGCCCTCACCCCTGCCCTCACCCCTGCCCTCACCCCTGCCCTCACGCCTGCCCTCACCCCTGCCCTCACCCCTGCCCTCACGCCTGCCCTCACCCCTGCCCTCACCCCTGCCCTCACGCCTGCCCTCACCCCTGCCCTCACCCCTGCCCTCACCCCTGCCCTCACCCCTGCCCTCACGCCTGCCCTCACCCCTGCTCTCACCCCTGCCCTCACCCCTGCCCTCACCCCTGCCCTCACCCCTGCCCTCACGCCTGCCCTCACCCCTGCTCTCACCCCTGCCCGCAGCTGTGCCCTCACGCCTGCCCTCACCCCTGCCCTCACCCCTGCCCTCACCCCTGCCCTCACCCCTGCCCTCACCCCTGCTCTCACCCCTGCCCGCAGCTGTGCCCTCACGCCTGCCCTCACCCCTGCCCTCACCCCTGCCCTCACCCCTGCCCTCACCCCTGCCCTCACGCCTGCCCTCACCCCTGCTCTCACCCCTGCCCGCAGCTGTGCCCTCACGCCTGCCCTCACCCCTGCCCTCACGCCTGCCCTCACCCCTGCCCTCACCCCTGCCCTCACGCCTGCCCTCACCCCTGCCCTCACCCCTGCTCTCACCCCTGCCCTCATGCCTGCCCTCACCCCTGCCCTCACGCCTGCCCTCACCCCTGCCCGCAGCTGTGCCCTCACCCCTGCCCTCACCCCTGCCCTCACCCCTGCCCTCACCCCTGCTCTCACCCCTGCCCTCATGCCTGCCCTCACCCCTGCCCTCACGCCTGCCCTCACCCCTGCTCTCACCCCTGCCCGCAGCTGTGCCCTCACCCCTGCCCTCACCCCTGCCCTCACGCCTGCCCTCATGCCTGCCCTCACCCCTGCCCTCACGCCTGCCCTCACCCCTGCCCTCACCCCTGCCCTCACCCCTGCCCTCACCCCTGCCCTTACGCCTGCCCTCATGCCTGCCCTCACCCCTGCCCTCACGCCTGCCCTCACCCCTGCCCTCACCCCTGCCCTCACCCCTGCCCTCACCCCTGCCCTCACCCCTGCTCTCACCCCTGCCCGCAGCTGCACCCCCCTCGATACCACCCCCACCCCGAGGCTCTTGTCAGACCCCAGTGGGCTTGCCTCACCCCAGCCTCACCCCCCCACACCCGTCCTCTAGAAGGGGGGTGTCTCACAGGCCTCTGAGTCTTGGCCCCTCATCTAGCACATTCTTCCTTGGTTGGCTTAGTTCAATATTATTTTTCGGTGCTGCATTTAAAAAGACAACAATAACTTGGTCTGCGGGAGTGGCTGGTGTGGCAGAGTCCCCTAAGAAAGCCCAGCACTGCAAAAATAAAACAAAAACAGCAAAAATGAAGAAGGAAACGCCGTGTAAAGCAGCATTCATCCATCAGCTCAGGTCCCCGCGGACTTGGAACCTGAGAGGCTGTGCGGGGCCTCCGCTCAGCACACCCAGAGAGCTGGGAGTGGAGGCCCACTCCTGCTGCCCCAGCTACTCGGGAGGCAGGAAGCTGGAGGATCCAAGTTTAAAGCCAGCCTGGGCAAGAAGCAAGCAAGACCCTCCCATCCCTCCGTGGCTCAGCCAGGTGTGGCGGTGTTGCACCGGGAATGCCAGCCCCACCCGAGCTGCTGCGGCTGGGAGGACAGAGGCCCGAAGCTCAGAAGTGCCAGGCAAAAGTAGGAAATCCTACCTCTATGCTGATTAAAAGCAGAAACAGAAAGGGGGAGACATGGTCCGGTGGTGGAGCACCTGCCTAGCAAGCACAAATCCCCGGTACCACCAAATCATAAAAGAGTTAAAGTGTTGGCCAGGGCTCTTATTCCATGCCGGCCGTGGGCACTGGTCACTTCCTTGTGGGCCGCTCACCAGGTGCTGCTGGCGGCTGGCTGGTGTCAGGAGCATTCAGCTCCTGTAAGCTGCGTGAAGCTCCTTCCCAGGCCCCCATGGACGGGGCTCTTCCAGCCAGGATGCCAGGACACCGCCCCCCCCCCCCCACACCGCCCTGCTTCTGTGTCTTGCCCTCAAGATCCCTTTTGTACCTCATCTTTGTGTGTTGTGCATACTCTTGTGTTTTTTACCCTGGGACCGGCCTCAGATTGCAATCCTCCTACGAACAGCCTCCCACGAAGCTGGGATCACAGGCATACACCACCCCCATACTACAGGAGACCCCTTTTTTTGTTTGCTTTGTTTTGTTTTGTCGGTCGTGGGGCTTGAACTCTGGGCTTGGGCGCTGTCCCTCAGCTCTTCAGCTCAAGGCGAGCACTCTACCGCTTGAGCCACTGCACCACTTCCAGTTTTCTAATGGTTTCTTGGAGATAAGAGTCTCATGGACTTTCCTGCCTGGGCTGGTTTTAAACCAAGATCCTCAGATCTCAGCCTCCTGAGTAGCTAGGATGACAGGTGTGAGCCACTGGAGCTTGGCCAGGAGACCCCCTTTAAAGAGCACCCCCTCCCCCCAGAAACTCTCCTCCCTTGCTGAGCTCGACTATGAGCCATCAGCAGGAGGACACGGGAGCCACCTCTGTCAGGCAGCATGCACGGGCTCCCCACACCCCACACCGGGGATCTCCCAGGACGCACACCCCTGGGTGGAAGCACCCCTACACCCTGCCCATCACGGACTTTCCCCAGGGTGTTCCCCACTCCCTCCCACATGGGCCCATTCTTGGTAAAACATGGCCCCTCCCTGCCTCAGTTTATCATCTGTAAAGGAGGATAAAAGCCCAGTTGATTGTTACACAGGGGTTGATGGCCAGAGAGGGCGCACAGACGAGGAGCCTCCACCAAGATCAGCACCTCTGCGGTCACCCTGGTCAGATCTGCCTCCTCACCGGCTCCTTTCTGATGTCCAGGGCCTTCGAACAAGCCATGGGGGGCAGGGGGAGGACAGTGAACTCTCGAGAGACCAGGGAGTCTGCCTTTGTTTCCCCAGCCCAAGCCTGCCACAGCTTCTGAGCCACAAATCTCTCACTCCGTCTCCTCCCCACAGGACTGGCCAGCGCGGAAACAAGAGAACCGTACCCCTTCACCCTTGCGCCAACCCCCCTTCCCAGCCCCGCAGTCCAGACAGTGCAACCAAGGGCCAGACCGTCTCCGGATGCTTCTCCCCCAGAACTGGTGTGGTTGGCACGTTCCCCCTGGCCGCCCAGCCTCCCAGCTCTTCAGTGCGTGTGTGGGGACGGTGGGGGGGGGGACGGCAGGCCTTCCTCCGGGCGGTGATGGCATGTGTCTCCGGATCAGTTTCCCATCAGATATCCTGTCCTCCATCCCCTCCTGCAAGAAGGAAGCGAACTGATAAGATCTGACCGTGGGCGGCCGTCTAGCCACCCCCCTACACCCACACACCCCGCAAGGAGCACGGGAGAAGACACCGGGAACAAGATCTCTGATTGTTCTCGATTGCCCCCACGGCAGGCCTCGGTTCCCGCTCAATCGGAAAGCTCATGTATGAAATGCTTCTGGCAATAGCCTCACGCAGCCCCTGCTTGAGTTGACTGACAACTGTGCAGATGGCTCTTCCGGCCAAACACACAGCCCCGATGCGGTTCAGATGAAGCAGCAGGAAAGGCATCCTCGGCCTCAGAGCAGGGAGCTGCACGGGAGATCTCAGCTCAACGTCACTGTGCGGGGACTCACGGGCATGGAGGTTGTCTGAGGTTTGGTGGTTTATGGGTGACACCTGCACCCAAGGTTCTGTGTAGGGTTCATCAACCCCCACCCCCAACAGCCAGTCCCTGAGACTCGGCCCTCCGGCTATGTTCGCGGCCGAGGCTCTTCACACAGCCCATCTGGAGTCACAGCGCTGGCCGCTCACCAAGGGGAGAGGCCCCGCCCCAGGACCCTGCAGCCTGGCCAGCCCGAGACCAGCCCCATCGGCCTTTCCACGCTCACCCCACCCAGATTTTGCCCAGGCCAGCTTGCCCAGCGCACTGCACCCCTTGGCCCTGACTGACACTGCTCCACCTCTAAGGCTGAGAAGAGAGGATCCGGCAGCCGTCAAACTCACCAAAACCGAGCTGTGTGTCATGAGGCAGGCCACGAGCCTCAGTGAGCCTCACAGGCGACACGGGATGGAGGTCCTGCCCCCACCCCGAGTGTGTAAGAAACAGCGTGGGAGAGGACGCCTGGCCGTCAGTGCTGCACCGGATCTGGTGACAGAATATCCCATCCATCGGAGAGCCAGAGGCGTGGCTCAAGCAGGAGAGTGCCCCGAGTTCAACCCCCAGAGCCACCCCTAGAAAAAGAGATTCACGAAACAAGAGGACAAAGGCGTTTGAGATAACAGGCCCACTCAAATTGAGAGGTCAACTGGGAAAATGGAAATCCAACGTGTATTTCTTTTTTGTTGGTGGTTGTGGGGCCTGAATTCTGGGCCTGGGCACTGTCCCTGCGCTCTTCAGCTCAAGGTGAGCACTCTACCACTAGAGCCACCACTTCCCGTTTTCTGGTGGTTTATTGGAGATGAGTTTCACGGACTTTCCTGCCCGGGCTGGCTTTGAACCTCCATGCTCAGATCTCAGCCTCCTGAGTAGCTAGGATGACAGGCGTGAGCCACCGGCGCCCGGCAAAGTGTAGTTCTTAAACATTCTGTCTCCCCAGGGCGCGCAGCCAGCCCGCTCTGACTGTGTGCGGCTACCGGCCGCGGCAGGAAGGCTGCCCCGGCTCAGTCCCAGCCGAAGTCCTGGCCAGTCATCTGGTAGAACTTGCGGTTGAAGGGCCGGTAGAAATCACGCAGCCGCTGAAGCAGGGCCGGGGCCACACGGGGGTGAGAGCGGCCCTTGGATTTGCCCAGGCAGCGAGGCCGGCCGCTCCCGGGGGCCCTCCTGAGGCACGGGAAGCCCTTGGTGGCGTTAAAGTAGAAGTGCTTGCCGGTGACCACACGTGTAAGGCCCAGGAAGTCCTGCACGCGTCCCACCTCCCCGGCGGGGTCGCTGACCAGGCGCTCGCCGCTGACGAACAGGAAGCGGGACAGCGGGAAGTAGCGCAGCCAGCGGTCCAGGTGCAGGGCGTAGAGGCCGATGCGCACCGCGCTCCAGGCGGTGTCCACGGGGCCCAGGCCGTGGCGGAAGGCCAGCGCTCGGAAGCTGGGCAGGCCTGGGGTCTTGGACAGGGTCTGGGCGTAGTCGGAGATGGCTCGGGTCACGGGGTTTCGCACCACCACAATCAGTTTGGTGTGGGGGGACATGCTGTGGATCCGGCGCGGGGCCTCCCGGGTGACGAAGTAGCTGGGAGTCTTCTCCATGGTGATCTGTCCGTCCACGGTGCGGGGCATCAGGCTCCTGAGAGACCGCAGGAGGGGGAGCTGGCCATCGGCCACGCCTCCTCCCCTAGCCCGCTCCCCAGGGACCCAGGACCAGCCCTTCTTCCTCTGGTGACTTCTCCCCCTCCCCCTCCCAGGCCCAACCCCTAAGGTGCAGCAATGGGGGGTCTGGTAGGTGCGGTGCAGGGTCCCGGCCAGCCCCGTGCAGACCTGCAGTAGGGGCCACCCACCAGGGTGTCCAGGGTGTCCATCACCCATCACCGGGGCTCAGAGCTGGTGGAGTGTGTTTACTGGCAGTTTACTATCTCTCAACAAACTCTCTGGGCCCTCATGTCAGGGCAACACCCTCCCAGCGACCACCCCACCCAGAGCTGCTGTACCCCAACCATGGTGCTGCTTTCCCACCCAGACCTGAGGAGCCCGAGGCCAGCCAGTGTGGACCTGTGACACCCAGCCTCCACACTGTAGTCACTGGCCCCGAGTGAGGTCATCAATAATGAGTGCAGGCGGACTGCTCTCCCGCCCCCCCCCCCCCAAATTTAATTACACCTCTCCCTGCTCTTAACCACAGCCCTGCCGACTCCTCCCCATTCTGGCCCAGCTCTGAGTGCCAAAGCGCCAACCAAAAAAGCGGGGTGCACTTGTGTCCATTAGCAATGTGGCTGTGATCGCATCTTTCTGGGGCCTCGTCCTCAGGTCCTGGGCCACTGGGGGCTATCTCAACCTTGCAAGGGCCCCAGGGTGCCAGGCCTGAAGCTCAGCATTTCTTTTCTTTTCTTTTTTTTTTTTTGTTGGTCATGTGGTCTGGGCCTGGGCGCTGTCCCTCAGCTCTTCAGCTCAAGATGAGCACTCTACCACTTGAGTCACAGCACTACTTCCAGTTTTTTAGTCGTTTATCGGAGATAAGAGTCTCATGGACTTTCCTGCCCGGGCTGGCTTTGAACCTCGATCCTCAGATCTCAGCCTCCTGAGTAGCTAGGATTACAGGCATGAGCCATGGGCTCACATCATTCAGATGTGAGTGGGGAAGGCGCTGGCCCATTCCCAGGTCCAGAGGAGGAGAGCTGACTGCAGACCCCTGCCTTGGGAAAATGCAAACAGGCCAGGCGCCTGCAGCCAGGTCCCAAGACAACACCTGCTGTCCAGGTAGCTCAGGGTGGGGGCCGAGTAGGTGGGGCTGGCCCTGGCAGGGCAGGGCAGGGCAGGGCAGGGCAGGGCAGGGTGCGGGGCTGGTGGGGCAGATCAGCTGAGCAAACAGCTGCAAGGAAAGTCTGGGAACTAGGTCAACAGAGGCAGAGGCTTCAGGGCTGTGCTAGGGAGCAGACACCCCTGCCCAACCCCACCCAGTCTCACCCAGCCTGGCCTCCCCCCACCCCGAATCCCCAGAGTCTGTCCTGGTCACGTGGACACCCCAAGATGAGTGAACAAGTGCATGGGCTAGTGACAAGACAGGACTCCCCCCCCACACACATACACGCATGCATGCGTACACACACACAGGCCGAGACCCAGGGCTGGTTGTGGTGCTTCACACCCACAATCCCAGAATGTAAAGCGTCTGACCAGAGGCTCTCCAGTGTGAGGCCAGCCTGGGCTACTTGGTGAGACCCAGAAGTACCAGGTTCCAGACGCTACTATGGCCACAGCAGGGCTGGGGAGACGGGAGAGAGAACAGAGAGCCTCTCCTCTTTGCCGAACCGTCTACAGAAGGCACAAGACATCAGCTTCTTCCATCATGTGGCAGAGAGAGCCAGACCTCCCCCACCCCATCACAGCCACACTGGATAGGGGTGTACACACACACACACACACACACACACAGCTCACAGGAGGCACAGGAAGGGTGGAGGTGGGGGGGTGGGGGGGCTCCCTCACGCGGCTCTGAGATCTGAGGTCTTTGGGATCAGTTCTGCAGCAGCCTGTCCCAGTGGGGCGCCAGTGGGGGGTACAATGCAGAGACTGGCATGTTGGGGGCTGGGGGACAGCAATGGCGGGGTGGGAGCAGAGCAGAACTCTGGCTATGCATGGCAAACATCTGACAAGTTGTTCTGCGGAGCCCACCCCATTTGGTCTGCATTTCCCGACAGCTTCCAGCCAGCGGCGGCCGGGACGTGGGATCCCTTTCCATCACAACCAGAAAGAACTGGGGCGCAGGAGCCCAGGCCCTGCTCCTGCCACCCACTGCTCACTCCCTAGGAACTGAAGGACGGTTCCAGAGGATGAGGGCCAAACCACTGCTCCTACCTGTCCCCGGGAGGAGGGGGGAGGAAGGGGAGCCCCCCTGACCAGACAGGAGACCCCAGCGCCTGGCATGCAGTGCCCACCCCATGCACAGACGAGAGCCTGCGGCTGCTCCTCCAGCCCCTCCCCAGCCACACCGGGAGGGGGGGGGGTTGGGGGGAGGGTTCAGCTGGGCCTGCCGCTGGGACACTGAGGCAGGGGTGGGCATTTCCAGAGGCCCAGGGCACAGTCTCCTCTCACAGTCGCACGCTGTGTGGAACAGGCCACGGCTCCCCTGGGCAGGTCAGCGTCCCCACCAGCCCCTCCCGGCTCAGGATGTGACCCCCCAGCTTGGGCCTGGGTCTTCTCTCTCTCCACAGCCTCCTCCCCAAACCCGATGCGTGCCCAGGGTGGTCCTGAACCTGCCTCTCCTCCAAGGAGCACAGTCCCTGGCCATGGGGGTCCCTGGGGTCCCACTCTGCAGTCTTGGACCACAGCCTCCTTCCTCTCCTGCTTCCTCCCCTGCTGAGATCAAGTGGAGTGGGGAGCCCTCCCGTCCCCTCACCCCTCTGCTCAGAGCCAGCCCCACCCTGCCCCCCATCCTAACAAGAGAGTCAGCGTTCACAAATGGGGGTGAGGGGATCTGCAAGCACCGGGGTCCAGCCACCCCCAGAGTCCCCGGGCCACCCAGGCTGAGGCAGAGGACAGGGGGCCGCGGGAGGCCGCACCCCAGGTCTGTCCCAGGAGGGGGGCGGGCAGTGCAGGAGACTAAATCCAACCCCCACCCCTGGGCCCAAGGGCAGTGCCCGGCCCCCAAGTCCAGGAAGGGCTCCTCAGCAACCCGGGGAAGCAGAGGGGAGGTGAGGGAGGGAGGGGGGCAGGGGAGGGAGGGGGGAAGGGGGCGGGGAGAGGAGGAAAGGGGACAGGGCAGGGGAGGGGGGACAGGGCAGGGGAGGGAGAAGGGAAGGGGGTGGGGGGAGGGGAGCGGGTGACTGAGCACCCAGCACTTTTCACCGACGAGGTGACTAGGAGCCCCCTTCGGGCGGGGCCCCGCCTCGCCCCGACCTCGCGGAGCCTCCACAAGGCGAGCCCTGACCGGGTCGGGCCTTTCCTTAGGGGACCCCCGGGGCCCCGACCCGTCCCCCGACCCCCGGCCCCGGCCCCCGGCCCCCCCGACCCCCGGCCCCCCGACCCCCGGCCCCCGGCCCCGGTCCCCCGGCCCCCGGCCCCGACCCCCGGCCCCGGCCCCGGCCCCCGGCCCCGGTCCCCGGCCCCCCGACCCCCGGCCCCGGCCCCCGGCCCCCCGACCCCCCCGGCCCCCGGCCCCGGCCCCCGGCCCCCCGACCCCCCGGCCCCCGGCCCCGGCCCCCGGCCCCCCGACCCCCGGCCCCGGCCCCGGCCCCCGGCCCCGGTCCCCCGGCCCCCCGACCCCCGGCCCCCCGACCCCCCGGCCCCCGGCCCCGGCCCCCGGCCCCCCGACCCCCGGCCCCGGCCCCCGGCCCCGGCCCCCCGACCCCCGGCCCCCGGCCCCGGTCCCCCGGCCCCGGCCCCCGGCCCCCCGGCCCCGGCCCCCGGCCCCCCGGCCCCGGCCCCCGGCCCCCGGCCCCCCGGCCCCGGCCCCCGGCCCCCGGCCCCCCGGCCCCCGGCCCCCGGCCCCCCGACCCCCGGCCCCGGCCCCCGGCCCCGGCCCCCGGCCCCCCGGCCCCGGCCCCCCGACCCCCCGGCCCCCAGCCCCGGCCCCCCGACCCCCGGCCCCCGGCCCCGGCCCCCCGGCCCCGGCCCCCGGCCCCCGGTCCCCCGGAGCCCCGGCCCCGACCCCCGGCCCCGACCCCCGGCCCCGGCCCCCGACCCCCGGCCCCGGCCCCCGGCCCCGGCCCCCCGGAGCCCCGGCCGGCGCTCACCGGTACCAGGCCAGGCCGCGCCCGTAGCACCTGTCGAAGAAGTGCGGCTCGGCGCCGAGCGCGCGCACGTCGGGGTGCAGCCGCAGCGCCTCGAGCAGCGCGCGCGTGCCGCCCTTCTTCACGCCCACGATCAGCGCCTGCGGGAGGCGCCGCCGGCCGGGGCCGGGGCCGGGGCCGGGGCCGGGGCCGGGGCCGGGCGGCGCGGGGCGGCCCGGGAGGGCGCTCAGCGCGTAGACGCCGAGCAGCAGCGCCGCCGCCAGCGCCAGCGCCGCCCGGGGCGCCCGCGGCGCGGCCCCCGGCCCCGGCCCCGCGCCCGCGCCCGGGCCGACCCCGGTCCCGGCCCCGCTACCCGCCATGGGGCCGCGTCGCGGCCGCGCCCGGGAGCGGGGGCCGCAGACGGGCGCACATGCCGCCCGCGCCTGGACGGCCGGCCGGGGGAGCCGGGCGAGGGGCGGGCCGGGGGCGGGGCCTGAGCTGGGGGCGGGGTGGAATGGGCGTGGCTGGTCGGAGGGGCGGGCCTGGGGCGGGGCCGGAGCTGGGGCCGGGGTGGAATGGGCGCGGCTGGTCGGAGGGGCGGGAGGGGGCGGAGCCGGGGGAGTGGTGGAATGGGCGGGGCCGGGGGCGGGGCCGGAGCTGGGGGCGGGGTGGGATGGGCGTGGCTGGTCGGAGGGGCGGGCCTGGGGCGGGGCCGGAGCTGGGGCCGGGGTGGAATGGGCGCGGCTGGTCGGAGGGGCGGGAGGGGGCGGAGCCGGGGGGAGTGGTGGAATGGGCGGGGCCGGGGGCGGGGCCGGAGTTGGGGGCGGGGTGGGATGGGCGTGGCTGGTCGGAGGGGCGGGCCTGGGGCGGGGCCGGAGCTGGGGCCGGGGTGGAATGGGCGTGGCTGGTCGGAGGGGCGGGAGGGGACGGAGCTGGGTGGGGTGGGTCCGGGACCTACGGGCGTGGTTTTGTGGGCGGGGCCGGAGCTGGGGGCGGGGTGGCATGGGCGGGGCTGGTCGGAGGGGCGGGGCCGGGGCAGGTGGGCGTGGCTTCTGGGCCGGAGGCGCGGTCGGGGCGCCGTCCCCTCTGCCCAGCCGGCTCGGGGACTCTAGGACCCCGCCGGGCCCCTGGCGCACCCGGACGGGCCAGCCCGCCCGAGAAGGCGCCTTCCCGCCCCTCCTGGACGGGGAGGCCTCCACAAGTGGGAGCCTAGCGGGGCACCCAGGCGGCTGAGAAGGAAGGTGGCCGTTCGAGGCCCGCCCGGGCAGCCACGTCCAGGAGGCTCTGCTCACTGGTCACCAGGACGCCAGCCTGGAGCCAAGGAGCTCAGAGACAGCGCCAGGCCCTGAGTTCAAGCCCGGGACTGGGGGCTGCGCATGCGCATGCGCGCGCACACACGGTGGGAGCCTCACCTCCGGACCAAAGAAGCGCACGGACGTCAAGGGGGAAACGAGGCCACGGCCACAGCCTAAAGTGGGGTCCCCACCCGTCCCCACATTCTGTGGTCAGAATCCGCTTTGGGCCCCAGCTCGCAGGCGCCACCCAGGTCGGTGGGAGCCCTGCCCCCCAAGAGACAGCCCGGCCTGGTTCGGGAGATCCGCCCGTCGGGGCCCAGTGAGCTGAGTGCAGACCCAGTCTCCGGACCCCCCCCTCCCCGTCCGGCCACCCGCGGTCCCCAGGAAAGGCTCAGGGCGGTGCTCATGGGGGAAGAGAGGGAACTCCCTCCCAGCGCCAGGAGATTCGGGACCTGGTTTACCACACCCCAGCACTGCCCACAAAGGAGAGGGAGGGCCGGTGAAGCCCCAAGAGGACCCGCCACCTGCCCACTCCCAGCCCCACCCCAGGCCCAGCCTCTCCACCAGACCAGGCCTCTGTCCGTTCTGCTTGTTAGGGGTTGGCTCTGGGCCTAATGACACCTGGACATGTCTCAGCTGCCTCTGAGGGACACCAGGCCTCCAGGACCCACTGAGCTGCCACCCAGTGCCGCCCCGGCCGCAGAGGGCCATGCAGGGCCACGCGGGGCTAGTAGGGTAAAGACCACTCATGGCCCCTCTAACACAGCCCCCAAGGCCAAACCTGCTTGTCAGGGCAAGCCTGAGCCCGAGGCCCTGCGGGCAGGTTGTTGGCGTGGCACCGTCTGGGAAGCATGCTGGCACATGCAGGGGCCAGGAAGTTCTTCGTCTAGTCTAGCTTAAAACAAGATTTGTTCCAGACTGGCTGGTTCTCCTCAGAGCCTTCCCACAGAAAGCCACCCGGGTCTGCAGCACCCACCCAACCTGAGCAGGTGCCAATCAGGACTCCAAATCCCCTGGCGCGTGGTCCCCTGCTTATTCTGAGGATAACTCTCTATCTGGGGGACCCAGGCCTGGCCCGCCCTTTCTTATCCCTGAGGGATAACGTTTCCTCAGCCCCCCTCCTGCTGAGGGAAGATGGTCTGAGAGGCTTCCCTCCTCCTCCTCATATCTGGGCAGCTCCTCCCCCCTGCCAGGACCCAGCCTGGCATCCTGCCGACTCCCTGCTTGGTGACCTAGGGAGACAGGGTCCCTCTGTCTGGAAAGGTCTGCTGTCTGATTATTTTTTTCCTCTACCCAGAACACCTTTCTCTGTCTCTTTCCCAGCCTGCTCAGGCCGTGGAGGGGGTGTCCCCCCAGCCAGTGGCGCCCCCTCTCCCCCTAGGCAGAGAGCTGTTAGTCGGGGTGCAGCTCCTCCCTCAGCGGGGGACAGCTGGGGGGTTCACACACGAACAACTCCAGGACCTCCCTCGCACAGCCCGCCCTGCACCCCCACACCACACCACAGGAAGGAGTCTGGCGAGGGGGGCAGGGGAGGGCTGCGGCCCCAGGGCAGGCCCAGCTGTCCTGGATTTGCGTGGGGTTTTTCCACTCGGGATGCCGGATGTGCCCAAGAGAGAGGGTGCGGCTGTCCTGGGCAGGGGCCGCTGTGAGCGGACGCTGCTGGCCACACTCCCTGCCCTGCTTCCCTTCCCCCGGTGGGAGACGGTGGCACGGGGGCCGGCAGCAGTGACTTCATGAAAGGATTTCCAGGTCTTCCCTGCCAGGGACCCAGCTCCCTCGCCTCCCTGTCCATGTTGGGGGGGGTGAGGGTGGGGAGGGGAAGTACAGGCCCTGAGGCTTGAACTCAGGGGCCTGGGTGCCGTCCCTGAGCTTTTGTGCTCAAGGCTTAGGGCTTTACCACCTGAGCCACAGCTCCACTTGTGACCTTTCAGTGAGTCATTGGAGATGAGTCTCACAGACTTTCTTGCCCAGGCTAGCTTTGAACCTCAGCCTCCTGAGTAGCTAGGATTACAAGTATGAGCCACCAGTGGCTTCCTCTCCTGTTTTTATTAAAGATGACAAACCCCTCCTCTCCAAGGGCCTGGCTCCTGGTAAAGAGACCAAGGACATGTAACAGGGACCATGGCTTGGGAAAAGCTGCTCCCCCACCCAGCACCTGAGCACCTCCTACTGTCTGCCTTGGGGACAAGACCAGAGGGGAAAGGCGTCTGTGGCTCCACTTTCCAAAACCTGGGGGTTTGCTGGTGGAGATTGGTGGATACAATGGCCAGGACTGGCCAGGGCAGACAAGATTGACAGTGTCAGAACTAAATCATGAAAAAAGTCCCTTTGGAGGGGAGAGGAGGCAGCCCCTCCCCGCTTTGCAGCCACACCAGGCCACACAGCCACGCGCACCACAGCAACCCGAGGCCAACCTCTGATGGAGAGACTGCACTCAGCCTCAGCGAGCTGTGGCCATGGGTGTGGGGAGCTCTTGGACAAACCTCAGGGGGGACAGTGGTGTACCTGCAGTGGAGGGAGGGAGACAGCCCCGGGGGGGTAGGGTGGGGCTTCTGGAAGGATTCTGGCAGTAGGGAGGGACTGGAGAATAATGAACAGCAAATGCTGGGACCACCCTGCCAAGATGGCTGGCTGGTGGAGGGGCAAGGGGGTGGGCTCCAAGAAGCATCCTGCTCTGCAGTAGGGAGAGATGGGGGCAGAGGAACAGAGATCTGCAGGGCTGCAACTTTAGCATCCAGGCCTAGGGCGGGCCAAGGCCCAACTCTCAGGGGAGAGGACCAGGGAAGGGGCATCTGTGCAGATGGACCCCACCAGGGACCTGGAGAGAGGGCTGGCACTGGGCTGCATTTGGGAGATCCTGCCGGTATCTGCGCCCCCAAACATGCCCAGCTTCCCCGTCCTGTCCCTTCCCTTATCCTCCACCTGTCCCCCATCTGTCCTCCTTTCTTGGCTCCAGAAAGGGGAGTGGGTCCAAAGGCGCTCCCTGCACAGGTCACCCGGGACACGGGGCCCGCTAGGGCCCTGGGGCACCGGGCTAATGGGTCCCAGATGGGGCTGGGCCATGCGATGCCCCCCAGTGGCAGCTCCTGGAAACTGCAGCCCACCATGCCCCAGGCCTGTGGGCCATGAGCGCCCCCTGCGGGCAGGCTCTGGGCCGGCACCTGGGCCTGGCCTCCCAGAGGCCACCTTGGGCCTCCCTGTAGGAAGGCTGGGGGCCATTCTTGTTTGGCAATTGCCTCACAATTAGGAGGTTGCTGCACACCCCCGACTGAGAGGGACACTGGTGCCCCCCGGTGCACAATCACCCCAGTACAAGGCCAGATTAACCTAGAGCTGAAGGCTGCCTGGCCTCCCTGGCCGCCAGGCTCTGGGGCCCCAAGGCAGCAGAACACTGCTGTTCTGGGGTTCATGCGAGTCTTCTGTTTCTCGGACCGATACTTGTTCAGTCCAGTCAGGGGTCCGCCCATTTCACTTCTAGAGAAGCCGTGGGCCACGCTAGGTCTGAGGGCAGCTGGGACTGCAGCTGTCCCTGGGAACCGTGGGCACTGTCACTTGGTCCCTGCCGCTGTGGGTTCCAAGGACTTGCATGACTCCGCTCCCTCAAGCCAGGGGTGATGGCTGCACCTTCTTACTACTGCCTCCCAGGGTTCACAGCAGGCTTTCTGAGGGCGGCCTCTGTCTACCTCAGACTCCATCTTGCACACACAGCTGCATCCTCAATACAGAACTACAAATATTTTCAGAGCATGCAAGAGTAAAGTCCTGATGCTCACCCTCCCTCTGGAGGGGAACCAAGACAGCAGGCCGGGGCTGGAGCAGCCAGGGCTCACCTTTATTCATTTCCACCTGATTACTCCAAGACTCGAGCTGGGGGACAGGCTTCTGCCTCCCCCCGTCCTCCCCTGGCAAGGGCACAGGGCTTGGGACGTCTCTGCAGGTGTGGACCGAGGCTGGTGACCGCGGGGCAGCTGCACCGGCCAGGTCGTGAAGCAACAGTTGTGGAGGTGAGCAGCACCCGCAGATGGTGAAACAGGGCTGGATGGCTCTACTCTTCCTGCAGGCCACAGGTTGTCACTACCCTGGCTGGCCTAGAAGGGTTTAGCCAGGGCAGATCATGCGGTGACCAGGGCTGGAGGGGCCAGCGGGGCCGGCGGGGCCGCCGTGTTTGTGTTCCTCCTCCCCCCACAACAGGCAAGGGAAGGCACAGGGCTTCGGTGGGGTCCAAGTTTGGGAACTGGTGTCCATCGCAAGAGATACAGAGAGCCAGGGAGGAAATGGGAAGAATACGTGGGCACATGGGCATATGTATAAATCTCCTGGCGGTATGTAAATCTCCTGGAGACTGCGTACGCCAGGAAAGGCCGAGGCTCAGCCCTGGCCTCTGGGGTGCTTTGTGCAAGGAGTCTGTCCTTTCCGATGTCTCAGCCACCCCCGCCCTGCCTTCCTGTAGGAATGCCGAGACACCACAGCCAGGGCCCGGCCAGCCACCGCGAGTCCATGGGGGGGGGGCTGCCTACCTACTGCCCCTGGGCAGCAGAAGTTTCTTTGCCTGAAAAAAGGAGGGAGAAGAGAGAAAACAATCGGGCATTAACTCATTCTTCGGCCAGTAGGCAAGTTAGAGGGCGCACACATGAGTCCCCGAAAGTGGCGGTCTCTTCCTCCTCCAGGACAATGAAGATTGAGCCAAACGTCACCTCAGGCTCCTGGTGGAGCCCCACACCGGCCTGTGCTACTGACAGTCCCACACTGCTGAGCACAAAGCAGGGGTAAAGGACGGGGGTGGCCCTGGGGACCGCGAGAGGGGAGGTGGAGTCATGGAGCACGGGAGGGGTGGCCCTGTGTGCAGACAGGCTGGGGGGGCGAGGACCCAGTGAGCCGAGGCCGCAGGCCAGGCCGTGGAGACGGAACCCAGCCATGACACCAGAGGCCACTGCCGAGAACATGGCCGGGGTGCGGGTCCACCTTCCCTGACAGGACTGGGCGGGACTGGGGTTGGATCGGCGGACATTCACCCTGTTGTCCCTGTGTGCGGGATGCGCCCCACTCCCCCCCCCCCGCATCCCGCCCATCGCCTCCCCAGGGGACCGGGGCTCCCCCCCCCCCCCGTGCCCCTCCCCACTCACCTTTAGGGATGAACTTCAGCGAGCTGCTGAAGATTCAGAATCGGGACTGCCCACGCGTGGGACCGTCGTTCAGGAACTCGTGGCCCAGTCCATTGCCACACTTGCCACAAGACACCTGGGAGGACCACACGCCGCGTGAGCTGCGGGCTCACGAGAGGCTGGGCCTGGGGGGACGTGTCCCGCAGCCCGCGCCCTGCGCCAGGCTCCGCGGCCCAGGCTGAAAGCCTGAACCGGCCTTGAAGGCCTAAGCGTGTGAGGGGAGCGGGGGAAGGGGGGCGACCCGCTCTCGGGGCTCCCCGGCTACCCACCTTCAGGGCTTCGGGGCGATGGGGCTCCGGGCGTTTGGCCACGCTGTCTGCGTGGATGGTCTCGGTGAAGGCCGGCCACGGGGACGAGTGTGCGTACTTGGAGCGGCTGGAGAAGAGCTCGTAGCCGCACTTGGCGCACACGTACACACCTGGGCCGGGGGAGTCAACGCAGAGACCTCAGCCCAGCGGGACGCCTGGCCCCTGGGCGCTCTGCCCACACGCATGGGTCACCGCGCAGAGACCCCGGTGGCTCAGGGGACACGTGGCACTGAGCTCACACTTCACGCTTGTCTCATGCACACTCTCCACAGCTCATTTCCAGTTTACAGGTGAGCAAGGAGAGGCGTGACGTCGCAGACGCCCAGAGAAAAGTGTGTAGCCCGATGGACGCGCACCTCCACCCCTGCAGGGCCCACAGGGAAGCCCTGATGTGACCCCTGAACCCTGCCAACCCCCAAATGGCTACCCAGGAAGGCCCTGGACTGAGCCTCCAGTCAATCAGGAGGAGCAAGAGAATGGTCCCAGAAACAGGCCTCCAAGCCGGGCGCCGTGGCTCATGCCTGTCATCCCAGCTACTCGCAGGCTGGGATCTGAGGATCACAGCGTAAAGAAAGCCAGGCAGGAAAGTCTGAGACTCTCATCTCCAATTGGCCACCAAAAAGCCAGAAGCGGAGCAGTAGCTCAAATGATAGGGTTTCCAGCCTTGAGCAAAACAAGCTTAAGTGCCTAGGCCCTAAGTTCAAGACGCCATGTTGGCACACACACAAAAAGCATCCAGGTTGTCAGAGAGTCAGAGAGACAAGGGGCTGGGGCTGGGTTTTCTCTTTCCCCAAAACATCAGTGTGGGGTACAGGGGCAAGGAAAGTTACAAAAGAGTTGCACCACTACTTGAAAGAATAAAAACAGGAACCTCCAGGGGCACGAAGTCACCCCCCCAAAAAAAAGCCTGGGGACAGCCTTCCTGAAGTCTGTGGCTGCCCAGCCTTTACCCGGAACTTGAGAAGGAAGTAGAGGACCAGGAGTGCCGTCCGCAGCTGGGCAGCACACCAGGACTCTAGAGACAGAGGGGGCAGCTTCGCCCGGTGATCCCCAGTCACAGATAGCCCAGAGAAGCCCAGTGTCGTAGCCTAGGTCCCTAAAGGAGAGACACCCCACAAGACTCTGCCCCAAAGACACCCAAGTCCCAGTCTTGCCTATGAATGTGGTTTGTTTTTAGTGCCTGTACGGGGGGGAGGGGGGGGGGCTGGGGGGGGGGGGCTTGCGTCCAAGACCTTCGTACACTTGCTCAACGGTTTCCCCTCATGGCTGGTACTGCAACACTAGAGCTCTGTCTCCAGTTCCTAAGGATATGTTTTTACCAAATAAGTCCGTTGTCAGCAGAGCTCCGCTAAGAAGGGGCTGGCGGGCACCTTTCACAGCCTGGAGCCGGAGCTGAGAGCTAGCCTAAAGCATGCCAACCAGACCGTGCCACTCGGGCAGAACAAAGTTCACTGGATCTTGGCAGGGGCTGGCTGGATGGCACCCGTGGCTCCCAGGCAGACTGGAGAGGCCCTGGGCCAGCACATCCAGATCTGAAGGGGACGAGAACCTGTCCAGTCACTCGAGAGACCTCTGAACCGGGAACGGCAGGCTAACACCTGGCACTGTCCTGGACCAGATGTTCCGTGGCTTCCCCCCTCAGTCGGAACCCTGACCCAGGTGACCCCTCCACCCCCACTATCCCCACCCCGACCCCGGTGACCCCCCCACCCCCACTATCCCCACCCCGACCCCGGTGACCCCTCCACCCCCACTATCCCCACCCCGATCCAGGTGACCCCCCACCCTGACCCTGATGAGCCCCCACCCCCACCCAGGTGACCCCTCCACCCCCACTATCCCCACCCCGACCCCAATGACCCCCCACCCCCACTATCCCCACCCCGACCCCGGTGACCCCTCCACCCCCACTATCCCCACCCCGACCCAGGTGACCCCCCACCCCCACTATCCCCACCCCGACCCCAATGACCTCCCACCCCCACTATCCCCACCCCGACCCCAATGACCTCCCACCCCCACTATCCCCACCCCGACCCCGGTGACCCCCCCACACCACCCACAGTAGCCGGCCCCCCAGGTTCTCGGAAAGGTTCAGGGAGGCCCCTCTCCTCTCGGGCCGCCCCCCAGGCCCCCGACCTTCCAGGCCCGGACAGTGGCGGCGCCCCTCCAGTGCACACCCGCCCCAGCCCTCCCGGCCCGCGGCCGCCGGCTGGACCTGGCTCAAAGTGGTTCTGGAAAACTTCGCCCCCGAAGAAGCTGCAGAAAGACATGGCGCCACCGGGACCGGGCCGCGAGTGCGGGAGCGGACCCGACCGCGGGCGGCGGACCGAGCCCCGCCCCGCCCGCCCCGCCCCTGCCGCGGGCCAATCGCCGCGCGACCGCCCTCGCCACGCCTCCCAGAGGCCACGCCTCCCAGAGGCCACGCCCTCCGCGAGGACCAGGTTCCGGTTTCCGCCACCAGGAGGCCTCGCCCCCTCCCGAGGACCTGTCAGATTCCGCGTCCCCGCAGGCCCCGCCCATCGACGCGGAGCCCCGCCCCCTCCGCCGGGAGCCGCGGGGCGCTCCGGGGTGCGAGGCCCCCGCGCCTGGCCCGGGCCGCGGCGCCGCGTTCCCCGGGCCGCCCCGCAGCGGAGCCCCTGCTGCCCCCTCCGCCGGCCTTTCCGCGCCTCGCGACCCCGACACACGGGGCAGTGCAGCCTCGGGACTTTATTTCGGGGCCGGGGCAGGGCCGGGAGGGCCGGGAGGGCCGGGCCTAGAGGTCTCCCGCCTTCTCCGGCTTCTCCTTCTCCAGGTGCTTCTTCTGGGGGCCCTGCGTCGGAGGGCAGAGGAGCCTTAGTCACAGTCCGGCCCGGAATGCACCGCTGACCGCAGCCACCCAGGGCCAGCCCGGCTGGACGCCCGACCCCCCCGAGGGCCAGCCGGGGTGACCCCTGCCCGACCCCCCCGAGGGCCAGCCGGGGTGACCCCTGCCCGACCCCCCCGAGGGCCAGCCGGGGTGACCCCTGCCCACCCCCCCCCTGGCCAGCCGGGGTGACCCCTGCCCGCCCCCCCCGAGGGCCAGCCGGGGTGACCCCTGCCCGCCCCCCCCGGCCAGCCGGGGTGACCCCTGCCCGCCCCCCCCCGAGGGCCAGCCAGGGTGACCCCTGCCCGCCCCTCCAGTCCAGCCGGGGTGACCCCTGCCCGCCCCCCCGCAGTCCAGCCGGGGTGACCCCTGCCCGCCCCCCCCCCGCAGTCCAGCCGGGGTGACCCCTGCCCGCCCCCCGGCCAGCCGGGGTGACCCCTGCCCGTCCCCCCCGAGGGCCAGCCAAGGTGACCCCTGCCCGCCCCTCCAGTCCAGCCGGGGTGACCCCTGCCCGCCCCCCCCGCAGTCCAGCCGGGGTGACCCCTGCCCGCCCCCCCCCCGAGGGCCAGCCGGGGTGACCCCTGCCCGCCCCCCCCCGCAGTCCAGCCGGGGTGACCCCTGCCCGCCCCCCCCGAGGGCCAGCCGGGGTGACCCCTGCCCGCCCCCCCCAGCCAGCCGGGGTGACCCCTGCCCGCCCCCCCCGCAGTCCAGCCGGGGTGACCCCTGCCCGCCCCCCCCACAGTCCAGCCGGGGTGACCCCTGCCCGCCCCCCCCGAGGGCCAGCCGGGGTGACCCCTGCCCGCCCCCCCCCAGCCAGCCGGGGTGACCCCTGCCCGCCCCCCCCGCAGTCCAGCCGGGGTGACCCCTGCCCGCCCCCCCCCACAGTCCAGCCGGGGTGACCCCTGCCCACCCTCCGCCACCCATTCAAGAGTGACCCGGGGGGTGGGGGGCAGCGTACCATGAAGGCTCTCTTCTCCTCGGCTGTCTGGAAGCGGCCATGGCCGAACTTGGAGGTGGTGTCAATGAACTTGAGCTCAATGTTTTCCAGCGCCCGGCGGCTGTGGTGCACCAGGAGAGACTGGGGGTCCGCAGGAGAGGAGGCGTGAAGGCCAGAGACTCCCCCTCCCCTCCCCTCCGGTCACCTCCCGCCAGACCCCACCCAGAGCAGGCTGGGAGACAAGACGTGCTGTCCAGGCCAGCCCACCGTGGGGTCCTGCCCCCAGCCTGCGCTGACCTTCCTCAGCGTGATGACCCGCTTCTTGGTGCCCGCGATGCAACCCTTCAGCATGACGAAGTCGTTGTGGACTTCCCCGTAGTGTGGGAAGCCGCCCTGAGGAAGGGGAGGAGGACGGGCTCAGAGCAGACAGACATAGGCCAGGCCAGGTCAAGGGCTGACGCCGGGAGCCCTGGGAGAATCCCGCAAGCGGGGATGTGTTAGGAGGAGCCCTGAGTAACCTCCAGGAGCAGGGGTGCCACCCTCACGCTCCAACGCCGACGGGGGCCGTGTCTGAGCCCCAGGCTAACTCCTTTTCCTGCATCGTCTCACTTAACAGTATAGAATCCCGGCTACAGCCTGGCAGCCCCTCGAGTCCCGTCTGGCTGTGGCGTGCACACACACCTCCAGCTCCCGGAGCCGAGCCGCGCCCCACTGCGTCTGGGCCCCCCCACTGCGTGCCACCTCCCCCAGAGCAGCCTGGCTGCCCACGCTCACCAGCGGCGTGATGGACTTGTCAGTCACGTCGTAGCTGGTGGACGCGTTGTTCCGGACCACCTTCCCGTCCTCCACGTGCAGCCCCCGGCCGATGCGGTAGATCTGCCAGAACAGTGAAGGCGGTGTGTGTCCAGGATGTCCACGCCCGTCAGCGCTTGCGCTGTGGCTCAGGCCCTGGTAGGGGTATTTCGTCTGCCTGCCTGGTACCCGCCCACTGGCGCGGGCTCCGCAGGCTGTGCACACACCTTCTTGTTGAGCTCTGTGCGGTGATGGTAACCTTTCTGCCCAGCCCGGGCGATGGAGCAGCCCACGCGGGCCGGGTGCCAGGCGCCAATGCAGGCCACCTTGCGCAGTCCCTTGTGCGTCTTCCGTGGCAGCTTCTTGGTGTGCCAGCGGCTGGTGACCCCTGCGGACGGCAGGGGCCGGTGGCTGAGAGGCCTGTCCGACCCCCCAACCCCCGCCGGGCAGCTGTCTCGGGCCGGAACCCCCACCAGACCCTACCTTTGACACCGCGGCCCTTGGTGACAGCGATGACGTCGATCACCTCGCTCTGGCTGAACACGCTGTGCACCGGCACCTGCTTCTCCAGCCGGGCCTGCGCCCAGGCCACCTTCTCGGCCACCGTGCCACCGTTGAGCTGGATCTCCATGATGTGGGCCTTCTTCTGCCGGAAGGGCAGCAGCTTCATCTGCGGGACGAGGAGACGGAGTCGGCCCCACCTTCGCGCACCCCGGCGGGTCTACGCCAGGCAACGCGGGTACAGCTCGGAGGCAGGCAGGCAGGGGGACGGGCAGTTGGGGGGACGGGCAGACGTCCCTGTTGGAGAGGGTCAGCGGGCTGGCGGGCTGGGGGAGGGGGTGCTTCAGCTACAGTGATGAGGTGCCAGCTCTGAGAAGTGACAGGAATAGCAGGAGGGAGCTACTCGCTAGGCCCTTTCAGAGAGCCCTTTAGACAAAGGGAGCAGCCTGGGAAAAGGCCCTGCGGCAGAGAAGATCTTGAGAAATTGGTGGGACCGAAAGGAGGTCAATATGAACAGATGGTGGAGGGAAAGGAGGGGGGCAGGGACAGAGGAGAGCGGAGGCCCAAGCCTTGTCTTCAGAGGCGGCAGGCAGCGGCGGGACCCCGGCTGGCATGGACGGCCCGTGTGCAGGGAAGCAGTGGGGGACACAAGACTTAGATCACGGTGTAATGCTCAGGAAGCATCTGTGGAGCCTGGAGCCCTACAGCGTGGTCCCTGCCCCAGGCCTCTGCCCCGAGTCTGCCCTGGGGATGGGCAGGAAGCCACGATTCACATTAGTTACCAGTGAAACAGTCCCTGTCTTCCCCCAGACCACACACCCAGGACGCTTCCAGAATTGCCTCCCACCCACCACACAAGGCCAGGTCCTGGTGCGGCCGGCCCTCAGGCTGGAGGTCGGGACCCTTCGGGTAATTCAGGACCACGTTCAGTAGAGGGGCACGGCTGGTGGACCCTGACACTCAACACCCCATCCCGGGACTGGGCAGCCAGCCCCTGGGCCTGTGCCCACGGCTCCTGGTATTTTTAGGCAGACATTTGTCAGGCTCCTGGAGGCAGCTGGGGATGGGGGATGGGGGGAAGAGGGGAGGGGCACTGACCTGGGTGTGGACAATGACCCGAATGACCTTGCAGTACTTCTTCATGGCAGCGAAGTCTTTGTGGAGCTGCTTTTTGCCGACAGCGTCCCGCCATCTCTTGCAGGCCTTGGTGAAGGCTTTCTTCTTGCTCTTGTGCCTGCGCAGCATACAGGAAGCGCTCAGAGCCCCCCAGCCCCAACCCCTCACCACAGCTACCATTCGTCTGAAGGGAACCTCAGTCTCCTATTTTCTTTCTTTTGTTTTTTTCTTCTTTTTTCACACAGGGTCTCAATATTCAGCCCAGGCTGGCCTTGACCTTGGGCGACCATGCCCAGCGTTGTTAACATTTCTAAGGCCAGCAGTGGGTGCTGCCCACAGGTGTCATGCTTCGGGGGTGGCACACAGCATGTCTAACCCTCACCCGAATCCAGAAGGTGGAAAATACCATCCCCACTCCAGAGGTGAAGAAATGGAAATTCGCGGGGTATTAAAGCCCCTGGACAGGAGGCCAGGGCATGGCCGGCACAGCAGAAACAGGACGGCTTGACATCTGGCAGGGCCTGTGCCCTGTGCCAAACACTCTGCACCTTCCCCTACCCCGTCCTCAGGACAGCCACACGATGGGCTCCCAGCCCCGCTGGCAGCAGAGGGCCAGGGACGGAGAGAGCCTGGCTGGCTGGCCTCCGGCACACAGGCCGCACCGACTGGACCCGTGCTCGGCTCCTCTCATAGAGGGTCAGGAGAGTTTGGTGCTGGGGTCTCCATCAAGTGAGAACTGGGGTGCGGGACAGGCTCCTGGGGCAGGTAGGCCTTTCCCATCAGGGAACAGAGAGGCCTGAGAAAGCCTTTCTTTCTATGTATAAAAGCTTCTTGATGGCTTGGTGGGGCTGGGAAGGTGGCTCAGTGGTAGAGTGCTTGCCTCGTATGCATGAGGCCCTGGGTTCCATTCCTCAGCACCACATAAGCAGAAAAAGCCAGACGTGGCGCTGCAGCTCAAGTGGTAGAGCGCTCGCCTTGAGCTGAAGAGCTGAGGGACAGCGCCCAGGCCCAGTGCCCAGAGTTGAGGCCCCATGACACACACACACACACACACAAAGCTTCTTGGCTGACTGTTCTTTTCACATGCGGCGCTAGGAAGCTCAGTCAACTCTGCAGTGTCATCAGATGAGACTGGAATATCCTCTTCCTTTCTCCTTGACCACAATTTCCTCCCCAGTACTTTACTATGTGCTCAGTTCTCACTGAAGTGAAGACAGACACACATACACACGCACACACGAGCTCACGCATCCTACCGGCCACACAAAACAACCACCTCCCCCCCCCAACTCGGGCCTGGTGTGACCCTTCCCCCCCCCCCAGCTCCGGCCTGGTGTGACCCTGCCCCCCCCCCAGCTCCGGCCTGGTGTGGCCCCGCGGCTCACCAGTCCTTGTAGAAGCGGCGGCGGCACTGGTCGCTGAGGTGCTCTGCAAAGATGGTCTTGAAGCTCCTCAGGCCGCGTGGGGTGGCCACGTAGCCCACCACGCCCACCACCACCAGCGGCGGCGTCTCCACAATCGTCACCGCCTCCACCTCCTCACGCTTGGAAATTTCTGGATGAGACCCAGGGACAGGGCAGTGAAGGGACGGTCCTGAGGCCCACAGGAAGCGAGCAGAAGAGCTGGCCACGGGGCCAGCAGGAGAGCATGGGCCCTGGCCCTGGGGCAGGGAGGCCGCCCTGCAGAGAGCATCCTGACGTGTGTGTGTGCGTGTGTGTGTGTGTGTGTGTGTGTGTGTGTGTGTGTCCATCCTGGGGCTTGAACTCAGGGCCTCAGTACTATCCCTGAGTTCTTTTTGCTCAAGACGAGCACTCTACCACTTTGAGCCACAGCGCCACTTCCAGCTTTTTGGTGGTTCATTGCAAATAAGAGTCTTGTGGACTATCCTTCCCCAGGTTGGCTTTGAACCGTGATTCTGAAATCTCAGCCTCCTGAGTAGCTAGGATTACAGGTGTGAGCCAGACTCCCAGTTCATTCTTTTTTTTTCTTTTTGGCCAATCCTGGGGCTTGAACTCAGGGCCTTGGCACTGTCCCTGAGCTAGCACTCTACTAATCCAGCCAAAATGCCACTTCCAGCCTTTTCTGTTTATGTGATACTGAGGAATTGAAGCCAGGGCTGCATGCATGCTAGGCAAGCACTCTACCACTGAGCCACCTTCCCAGCCTGAAATACATTTTTTTTTTTTTTTGGTTGGTCATGGGGCTTGAGCTCTGGGTTTGGGTGCTGTCCCTCAGCTCTTCAGCTCAAGGCTAGCGCTCTACCACTTAAACCACAGCACCACTTCCAGCTTTTTTTTCTTTTTGCTTATGTGGTGCTGGGGAATCGAACCCAGGGCCTCAGGCATGCAAGGCAAGCGCTCTACCACTGAGCCACCTTCCCAGCCCCCCACTTCCAATTTTCTGAATGGTTTATTGGAGATGAGAGTTTCATGGACTTTCCTGCCTGGGCTGGCTTTGAACTGTGATCCTCAGATCTCAGCCTCCTGAGTAGCTAGGATGACAGGCGTGAGCCACCAGCACCTGGCTTGAAATATATATTTTTAAAGTGAAAGAAAGCCCTGAGTTCTAATCCTACTAGCAGCAAATAAGTGAAAGAAAGGAATTAGGGAGGAAGGGAGGGAAAGAAGGAAGGGAGGAAGGGAGGGCAGAAGGAAGGGAGAGAGGGAGGGGTAAAAAGGAGGGAGGGATGGGAGAAGACCTGAGCAAGCCAGGAAACCTGTACTAATGCCACTGAAAAGTAACCATGGTGGGGTCACATTGCCTGGCAAGTGTATCAGTACAAAAGGGAGAGGAGGAGGGCCATGAGAAGGTGGGGCCTGAGCGTCGGGGGGCTGAGGAGGGGCTGCAGGGAGTGGCAGCACCACCCACAGCCCACAGGGACCCAGGACGATGTTGCTATGTCAGATCTGCGCACACACTCCGCTGCGCACACCTCTGGGAAGCGACACTTCCTGACACCTACCTGTGACGCTACCATGATCACAAAAGGAAAAGCAAGCTGCCAACACCCACCGCCCAAAGGGGTTCTAAGCCCAGGGGCCCCACTTCCCGGGCTCTGAGCCGGGCCTTGTTTGTAGGGGTGACTGAACCCCAGAGCGCTCAGCCAGGACCAGCGCTCTCCCTGTTCTGACTCCTCTGAGCTCACACCTGGAAGACTGTACACCTGCATACGCGAACACGGATGCGTGCATGCACACACATGCACACACACACATGCACACACACACACACGTGCAACAGCCACTCACTGAGGCCGGGCCGGTGCACCTCCCGCAGCGTGTGAGTCATCCCCGCCTTGTAACCCAGGAAGGCGGTGAGGTGCACGGGCTTGCTGGGGTCGTCCCGGGGCCACGTCTTCACCTTGCCCCGGTGCCGGCGGCTCCTCTTGTGTGGCAGGAAGCCCAGGTGCCCGTGCCGAGGCGCGGAGAACTTCCGGTGGGACTGGGGGAACAAGAAAGAGGCTCTCAGAGCCAGCAGCTCCTGCGGGGCAGCGGCAGGATGAGCCCACTGCCCACATCTGGAAAGTGAGCCAGAGGCCTGGGGCGTGGGCAGGTGGGCCCCCTGGGGCTGCCCACCCACCTGTGGCCGGGACTGGGAGAGGGGTTGAGATGTTGAGGGTGGGGCCTCCACACTCCCAAGCCACCCGCCCTGGCCAGGTGGCCTTCTTGCCCCTTCTCTGCCTGCAGCCCAGCCCTGGCCCTTCATGTCCTCTAAACTTCCAGCCCCAAGACGGTCCCTGCAGGAAGTGCTGCCCCTGCCCCCTCCCCAGAAATGCCAGTTTGCTCGGGCTCCAGCCCACTGACCATGGTGGCTGTCCCCGCAGGCAGGAAGGGTCCTCCCTGTCACGAGCCGGAGGTCGAGTGTGGGCCAGGACACACGGCAGCCAGATCCCAGATTTAGCCTCTGGCGGTCAGCCCCCGTGGCCAGCATGGTCTCTGGTGCCAGGAGCAAGTGGAGGCAGGGCACTGGAGGGCAGCCTGGAGTCGGGACACCTGTACCAGGCCGCCACTTCCTTCCTCTGTGGGCTCAGGCCATCCTCGCCTGAGCCTCTGGCATAGCCTCTGCCATGTGCTCCATGGCACCCAGCTAGCTTATTTCCAAGAACATGGCTCTATGGACCTTGTGTCTTGTAGCTGTGTAGTCTGGGAGTTCTTCAGGGCCTACAACAGCACGAGGGAAGGTGGATTTTGCATTGCTGCATAGTCAGATCCGTTGACCTGTCAGTTTGTAATCTGAAGATCTGACGTTTGTATCTGCGATTCTAGATTCTAAGGCAGCTTCACGGACTGCAGCCTCGGTGCCTTTGGCCTCCTGACACTGGATAGGAGGTGGCGTGTGCCCTCCGGGACACCAGCCAGGGTGCACGGCAGGTGGCAGCCAGCCCTGCTCCGTGGGCTGCTCTGGAGCACAGAGGGCCTCGGTCCGCCATGGAAACAACAGGAGTGGCCCAGAGCACCCTGTGTGGGAGTGGGGTGGAGAAGCCCCCTTCCCACGCCCGCTTCCTCCTCCACCCACAGCAGCCCCTAAGTTTACTAGCATCAGCCAGCTCAAGAGGGGCCTTGACAGGGACGGGGAGCCAGAGCAGGCTGGAGGCGCTGGGCAGTGCGCCAGTCTTCCTGGACGAGCAGGGTGTTTGGTGTTCCTCATTGCTGATGACTTCTTGTGTGCTGTCTACCTGCCTGTGTAGCTGAACCCGGGGCCAGGCCAATACCGCTTCCAAAAAGGCTGGCGGCGGGTGCAATAACACAGGTGCCACGAGGGGGCGCTCGCGACACGAGCCTCAATCCCGTGGTGCCTCGCGGCGCCCGGCCGCTCTTTCCCTCCACCAACCTCACCTCCTCCGCCGCCGCCCCCGGCGCAGGCGCAGTAGCCGCCCGCGCCCGCGCCCGCGCCCGCGCCTGCGCGCTCCTGCGTCCGGGCCGCCGCGTCCAGCGGTCACCGGCCCCGCGACCCGCCGCCGCCGCCGTCCGCGCCCGCCGCGGCCATGCCGGACCCCTGGGACAAGGATGTGTACCCCGAGCCCCCGCGCCGCACGCCGGCGCCCCCGCCGCACCCCTCGCCGCTCAACCCCGTCCCCTACATGACGAAGGCCTTTGACCTCCTCGTGGACTGGCCCGTGACCCTGCTGAGAGGTACGCGCCCCCGCGCCCGCGCGCCCGCGCCCCGGCCGGCGAGGGGCTCGTGGGGTGCGGAGCCCGGCGGCCCCTTCCCGCCCGCCACCCCCCGCAGCGGGCCCGGCGGGGGCGAGGCCGGCGGCGCGGCCCCCCTCCTGTGCCCCCGTGCCCGCGGCCCCCCCTCCTGTGCCCCCGTGCCCGCTGCCCCCCCGTGCCCGCGGCCCCCCCCTCCTGTGCCCCCGTGCCCGCTGCCCCCCCCGTGCCCGCGGCCCCCCCGTGCCCGCGGCCCCCCCCGTGCCCGCGGCCCCCCCCGTGCCCGCTCCCCCCCCCCGTGCCCGCGGCCCCCCCCACCCCCCGTGCCCGCTGCCCCCCCGTGCCCGCTCCCCCCCCGTGCCCGCGGCCCCCCCCACCCCCCGTGCCCGCTGCCCCCCCGTGCCCGCTCCCCCCCCGTGCCCGCGGCCCCCCCCGTGCCCGCTCCCCCCCGTGCCCGCTGCCTCCCCCCCGTGCCCGCTGCCTCCCCCCCGTGCCCGCTGCCTCCCCCCCGTGCCCGCTCCCCCCCCGTGCCCGCGGCCCCCCGTGCCCGCTGCCCCCCGTGCCCGCTGCCCCCCCGTGCCCGCGGCCCCCCCCCCGCCCCCCCGGGCCCGGTGCCCCCCCTCCCCCCCGTGCCCGCTGCCTCCCCCCCGTGCCCGCTGCCCCCCCGTGCCCGCTGCCCCCCCGTGCCCGCGGCCCCCCCCCCGTGCCCGCGGCCTCCCCCCCCCCGTGCCCGCGGCCTCCCCCCCCGTGCCCGCGGCCTCCCCCCCCCCGTGCCCGCGGCCCTCCCCCCCGTGCCCGCTGCCCCCCCATGCCCGCTGCCTCCCCCCCGTGCCCGCTCCCCCCCCCGTGCCCGCGGCCCCCCCCCCCCCACGTGCCCGCGGCCCGCGGCGGGTTCGGCTGCTGGCTACGAGGCTCCGCAGTCAGCTCAGCCGGGTTCGCTCCTTGCGTGCAGAATTTATAGAGCAGCAGCAAGACAAGAACAAGCAGTACTACTACCACCGGCAGTACCGGCGTGTGCCCGACCTCACCGAGTGCCAGGAGAAGGACGCCCTGTGCATGTACGAAGCCGAGATGCAGTGGAGAAGGGACTAGTAAGTCACCTGCCCGGCCTATTTCCCAAGTGTGAGGCAGGCCCAACCCGCCTCAGCCCTGTGCTTCGGGGCGTTTGCTGGCTGCCAGTCCTGGGGCTTGAACTCAGGACCTGGGCCTTGTGTGAGCTGCTTTTGCTCAAGGCTGACACTCTACCACTTAAGCCACAGCAGATTCTGGCCTTTTCTGTTTATGGGGTGCTGAGGCATCAAATCCAGGACTGCATGCATGCCTAAGCCTTTGTTTTTTTGGGGAGTCCGGTCATGGGGCCTGAACTCTGGGCCTGGGCGCTGTCCCTCAGCTCTTCAGCTCAAGGCTAGTGCTCTACCATTTGAGCCACAGCACCACTTCCGGCTTTTTTCTTTTTGCTTATGTGGTGCTGAGAAATCGAACCCAGGGCCTCAGGCATGCAAGGCAAGCACTCTACCACAGAGCCACCTTCCCAGCCCCCCCCTTTGTTTTCTTTTTAACAGCAAAGTTGACCAAGAAATTGTCAACATTATCCAGGAGCGACTTAAAGCCTGCCAGCAGAGGGAAGGAGAGAGCCACAAGCAGAACTGTGCCAAGGAACTGGAGCAGTTCACCCAGGTGGCCAAGGCCTACCAGGACCGATGTAAGCCTTGTTGCCCATTGAGTGACCCATTGAGTAAAAGCCGCTGTCAGTTCCTTTAGTTTCTAAACCAAAAAAAAGCTTAGTGGGTCCCTTCTAATTGCTCTGATTCAAGTCTTTTTCTACACTTTTCCAGATTTTGACCTGGGGGCCAATTACTCTGCCAGGAAGTGCTTGGCAAAGCAGAAGCAGAGGATGCTGGAAGAGAGAAAGGCAGCCAAAAAGGCTGCAGCCGCCTGAGGATGCTCCGAGAAGCAGTACCCTCCACTCCCCATTCTTGTATTGCTAAATAAATGAGGTGACACAACCAGCCTGCGTTTCTGGCTTCCTCTTATCAACCCCCAATTCAAACCACAAAGACAGGTTAACAGGCTTGATTCACTTTATTGTTTTGTATAAAATTCTATGTTGTAGCCACAGCTGGAGCTTGGGTCCTCTGCACGGACACTCTGGTGTGGGTTTTCACAAGATGGTCAGTGAATTCCTAAAAAGACAAATAGAACTTTGTTGCCACATACACCCTTAGGATGGGAGAGCCATGGTGACAACTGGACTGTAGCTAAGCCAAAGGCTCAAAAACCGCACGGGCAGTACCTGATAAGGAGATTTGGTGAATACGGTCTCTTTCCAGAGATCAGGGGTCAGGTAACTGTAGGTCTTAGAGATGGCATCAAAGGTGGCTTTGGCTAGGGAAAACGGGAAATGATGAGACCAACCTTACCACCAGACTAAAGAGCAGCTTGGGCTGTTGGCATGAACCACCTACCGAAGTTCCCTAAGGTAGCAGTGCAGCCCCTGGCTGAGGTGTAGCAGTCATCAATTCCAGCCATCATGAGCAGCTTCTTGGGGACAGGAGCTGACACAATCCCAGTGCCTCTGGGGGCAGGAATGAGGCGCACCAGCACAGAACCGCAGCGGCCTGTCACCTGGGGGAAGCAGGGGTCGTAAGACAGGCGTGGACGGAGACTAAAGGAGGCCCCATCACGCACCACTCAGCCTACCTTGCACGGGACAGTGTGAGGTTTGCCGATCTTGTTCCCCCAGTAACCTCGCCGCACAGGGACGATGGAGAGCTTGGCCAAGATGATGGCCCCCCGGATGGCCGTGGCCACCTCCTTGGAGCACTTAACCCCCAGACCAACATGGCCATTGTAGTCGCCAATGGCTACAAATGCCTGAAAAGAGACAGATGAGGTGACCCACGGTCCTCCGAGGTGAAGGACACCCAGTGGAACCTGTTGTGCTCCAACAGGAAAGAGAGGCCACAGGCAGGCCACCCCAGAGTCCTGAGGAGCTCTTTTCTCTCTCTCTCCCTGTACGAAAGTCACACGGATGAGGCTTAGTGTGACTATGCAGAATGAGAGAGCCTCACCCAGCCCTTCATGCTGATGGCAGATACCTTGAACCTGGTGCGCTGGCCAGCTCGAGTTTGCTTCTGCACGGGCATAATCTTCAACACCTCATCTTTGAGTGATGCCCCCAGGAAGAAGTCAATAATCTCAGACTCCTGCAATGAAGGACATTTTGAGTATAAAGTGGCGGCGTGCCCGTTCACACCACGGTTCCTAGTAGAGCAGGATCAACCTCCTTAAGGGAATTCCTCTTGCCGGTGCTGTGGATACACGAATGCCCACACCCAAGAGACGACCCGGGCCCGGCCCTAGCTGGCCCCTAGGACTGCGTCAGTCCTACCGCTTGTACCCAAGCGTTGCTGCCGGGGACTGGCTGGCCGCTGCGGTACCTTGATGGGCAGGGAGAAAAGGTAGATCTCCTCCAGAGACTTGATCTTCATGTCCTTAACCAGGCGGCCCAGTTTGGTGACGGGGATCCACTGCGGGGAGGAGAACGGCGGGTCAGCGCGGGCCCGGGGGGGGGGGGGTGAGAGCGGCGGGTCAGCGCGGGCCCGGGGGGGGGAGAGGCGGGTCAGCGCGGGCCCGGGGGGGGGAGAGGCGGGTCAGCGCGGGCCCGGGGGGGGGGGGTGTGAGAGCGGCGGGTCAGCGCGGGCCCGGGGGGGGAGAGCGGCGGGTCAGCGCGGGCCCGGGGGGGGGGAGAGGCGGGTCAGCGCGGGCCCGGGGGGGGGTGAGAGGCGGGTCAGCGCGGGCCCGGGGGGGGGTGAGAGGCGGGTCAGCGCGGGCCCGGGGGGGGGGGAGAGGCGGGTCAGCGCGGGCCCGGGGGGGGGGAGAGGCGGGTCAGCGCGGGCCCGGGGGGGGGGAGAGGCGGGTCAGCGCGGGCCCGGGGGGGGGGGTGAGAGGCGGGTCAGCGCGGGCCCGGGGGGGGGAGAGGCGGGTCAGCGCGGGCCCGGGGGGGGGGGCACCGCGCGACCCGCGGGGAGGAGCGCACCCCCGAGCCCCCGCGGCCACGACTTACTTCCTTGTCTTCGGCCTTGCCTCCACGAGCCCCGCGGCCGCGACCCCGGCCTCTCCCACGGCCGCGACCTCGGCCCCGGAGGCCGCTACCGAAGCCTCCGCGGAAGCCGCCACGGCCCCCCAAGCCCGGGCCCCCGGGCCCTCCGGGCCCTCCCGCTGCACCGGCGTCATCCGCCATTTGCTGTAGGAGAACAAAAGCCCGTCCGTCAGCGGCGTCCAGGCCGTGCGGACCCGACCCCTCCCCGGCCGGATGTCCGCGGATTCGCGCAGGCCAGGCCGCCGCCGGCCGCGGGCGGGAGACACTCACGTGTTTTCCCGGAGAAGGAGAAGAGCGAGGCCCCCGAGGAGGGGGTATTTATACCCCGCCAAATACCGCGAGATCCCGCCCGTCGCGCTCCCACACTCCCCCACGCCCGAAGCCCGCCGGCTTCTGTGGTTGGCTCTGCGTGGCAGGGCCCCGCCCTCCGCGCTCTGCGTGCGCCTGCGCGCCTGCGCTCGCCGCGGCGTCCCCTATAAAGGCGAGCGCGGCGGCCGCGCCGGGGCAGTAGGCTCCCGGTGTCCAGGTAAGTCTTTCCGGTGTGGCGGCTCAGCCTCCTCCCCGCGGACACGCGGCGCTCGTTGAAAATCACCCCCGGCTCCGGCCGTGGCCGCGGGTGAGATTCGGCGCCCACAGCGTCCCGGGCCCTCAGCTCACGGCCCGCTGCCGGTGTGGGAGCGTGAAACCCAGGCCCCGACAGGCGCCGCCCGCCGGCCCGGCCCCGGAGCCCCGCGGCCCCGCCCTCGCCCCGTCTACTCTCCGTAGGCCGCCCGCCGGCCCGGCCCGCGGCCCCGCCGCTCGCCCCGTCTACCCTCCGTAGGCCGCCCGCCGGCCTGGCCCCGCAGCCCCGCCGCTCGCCCCGTCTACCCTCCGTAGGCCGCTCGGGGCCGCCGCAGGAGCACGCCGCCGGCCCGGCCCGCACTCCCGCCCTCACCCCGTCTTCTCTCCGTAGGCCGCCCGCCGGCCCGGCCCGCACCCCCGCCGCTCGCCCCGTCTACCCTCCGTAGGCCGCTCGGGGCCGCCGCAGGAGCACGCCGCCGGCCCGGCCCGCACTCCCGCCCTCACCCCGTCTTCTCTCCGTAGGCCGCCCGCCGGCCTGGCCCCGCAGCCCCGCCCTCACCCCGTCTTCTCTCCGTAGGCCGCTCGGAGCCGCCGCAGGAGCACGCCGCCGGCCCGGCCCGCTGAAGCCGGGGGGCCGGAGCTGCCGGGCACCGCCGGGGGAGGAATAAACGAGTAAAACCTTCTGGCTGTGTGTGCTGTCCTGTGCCTGGTCACCCGCCGCCTGCCCGGAGGGCGCGTCCGTCGCCGCCCTCGCAGGCTGCGCTTGGGCGGGGGGGGGTCGTCTCTGCGGGTTGGCCCGACTCCGCTTTAGACACTGTACAGGTAGTTGCCTGGTGCCTGCTGAGATCCTGAGGATCGCGGTCCAAAGCCAGCCCCCCTCCCCGCAGGAAAGTCTTAAAGATTGCTCTCCGGGGCTGCAAGGTGGCTTTGGTACAGTGTTTGCCACGCATGCATGAAGCCCTGGGTTCGATTCCTCGGCACCACATGAGCAGAAAAAAAAGCTGTAAACCAGGCGCTGGGGCTCAAGTAACAGCGCTAGACTGGAGCTCAAGATCTGAGGGACAGCGCCCAGGCCCAGAGTTCAGGCCCAACTACCAAGGAAAAAAATATTGCATGCTCAAGTGCTGGGGAAATAGTTTAAGATATATTATTTGTGGGCTGGGAAGGCGGGTCGTGGTAGAGCACTATACTTGAGGGAAAAAGCTCAGAGACAGCACCCAGGATGTGTTCAAACCCCATGACCAACACACAAGGTATTTGGGAGTATGGTGGTTTTCTGAACCTGGCTGGAAACTTAGTCGGTGTCTCCAACTCGAGAAGCCTGCCAGGAAGGATAGGAAGCAATGTTTCTCCCACTATCAGGACAGGGGTGTGTTCCTAAAGCTTCCCCAGGCTTGGGTCCGCCTGCATTCTAGCCATGTTGAACCTGCAGGAGCATGCGTTTCCAGTCCCGAGCCAATTTCCTCAGCCCCTTCCCCGTAACTGAGCAGATAGAAGAGCCATGCCAGGCCTTCTGAGCAACACCAGGGGCTGTAGATATCAGTGAAGATAAGTAGTGTCTGTTGATTGCCTGTGTGTTTGGAGGTTGGGCCATCCAGTTAACACTGGGGGTGGGGACACAGCTATCCACTTCATTCTATTGGCCTTGGGTAGAAATTCATGCCCCGTCCAAGTTGGCACTGCCTTGCTGCTGTAAGGTTCCAGGGGTCCCAGGACTGGAGCTGTGATTGGCTTGAGCTGGACAATGCCTCTGTGATGTCGGCCCACTGCTGCAGTGAAATGCAGGCTTCTGAGCCCTGGGCTGCAGTGGAGCCGCTGTCTAGCCAGACCATGGTAAGCCCCAGCCCTGAGACTTACATCCAGCAGTGGGCACCAGTCATCAGGGATGGGCCTCACTCAGAAGGAAAACGGGGTTACACTCCCTATAGAGGATGAGTGACGAGACTTTCCAGAAGGCTCTAGCTGGAGGTTGGCAATTTTGGAGGACTCTGGTCCTCCACCCTTCTACCTCAAATGGGTGCTAATCCGCATCTGCTTGGGGTTTTCACGTGGCCTACCTCCCTGCCCAAAGATTGCTGGGGATTCTCTGGGTATGAGAACACCGGGAGGCCAGAACCAGGCCTTGATGTTGGCCTGGAACGTTGCAGAGTGGCGGATATGATCTCAACCTCTTCACCACCCCTCCTGACTGCAACTTCCTGTGCTCTGTCTGCCATGGGGTACTCAAGAGGCCAGTGAGGTTGCCCTGCGGTCACATCTTCTGCCAGAAGTGCATCCTTCGGTGGTTAGCCAGGTGCCATCGGGTTCTGGGGGGGGGGGGGGGGCTGGGAGAGCCGCTGTGAGTCTGGAGACCTTATCTGTGGCCCAGAGAATACCAAACAATGTCGGTGAGGCCCAGCTGCATCGTATGGGTCCTTGTTTACCCAGTGGTGTTTGCAACCCCTGACCTCCACCTTGGAGCCCATAGCTACCTGCAGTAACCCCTCCCTCATTCCTCCAGCTGGAGAGGGGATCATCTGGGTCCTCTATGAAACCTTGGCCTGGCACATTTGTTCTCCTCTCCCATGGGAAAATACTCATGTGCACCTCCCTCTCCATGGTCCATGCCTCCTTCCAGACAAAACACCTGTCCATGCTGCAGGAAAGAGGTGAAAAGGAAAAAGATGGTCCATGTGAATCAACTCCGGAAAACCATTGGCCGCCTCGAAGTCAAGGTAGTTTTTGAGCATCTTTTCCTCCCACCCTCGTAGGGCCGTGGCAGAGCCTCACACAGCAGCCAGGGATGGGCAGACCTGGCTGCGATGGGTTGATGGCTCCCTTGAACTCCCAGAGTGATGTTACCAAGTTTCCTAACCCCTGCCTGGGCTGTAAAATAGGTTTGTAGTGCTGGCAGCACTGTACACACACACCAACTTCACCGCTAGGAAATCAGGCTTCAAAATGGGAGCTGGGTGGTGGAGCGCCTGCCTAGCCAGGCCAAGGACCTCGGCTGGGTCTTGAACACCGCCAGTAAAAAGAAGCCCGGCCAGCAGAGCAGACCCGCCCCGTCCTCCGCCGCCCGGGCAGCCCCGTCCTCCGCCGCCCGGGCAGCCCCTGGGCCGCCACCCGCGGGGCTCACGCGCGCCTCTCTCGCACCCGCAGTGCAAGAACGCGGAGGCCGGCTGCGCGGTGACGTGCGCCCTGGCCCATCGCAAGGGACATCAGGACACGTGTCCGTTCGAGCTGCTCGCCTGCCCCAACGAGGGCTGCGCGGCGCGCGTGCCGCGCGGGGGCCTGGCCGAGCACCGGCAGCTCTGCCCGCGGGGCGGCCGGCAGCGCTGCCCCCTGGGCTGCGGGGCCACGCTGGGCCCCGCCGAGCGCGCGCGCCACAACTGCTACCGCGAGCTGCGCGACGCCTGGAGCGCGCGGCAGACGCGCAGCCGGGCGCTGCTGCAGAGCCTGCTGCGGCGCGTGCGCAGAGTGCACCGCACCACCGACCTCATCCGCCGGCAGCTGGCGCAGCTGGGCAACTTCCTGGACGAGGACGACGCCGTGCTCCTGCGGGCCGCGCCCGAGGCCGAGGCCGCCTCGGACGGCAGCGTGGTGGCCGAGCTGTGGGGGCCGCACGGCCAGGGTGTCTTGTGAATTAAGAGGGAAAATAAACGCCGAGCCCGGGCCTGGCCCGTCTCTGCGCCTCGGCCCGCGGGCCGCGCCGCCCTCCCCGCGCACGCGCAGCTCCGCAGCCGCGTCCCCCGTCTGGTTATCTGCCCCGCGCGGCCACCCGGCGCCGGCAGCCAGTTCCGCGTTGTCCCCGGGGCCTCCCAACGCCGGGAAGAAGGGCGGGGCTGTCGGCCCGGGGTGCCTGTCACGGAGATGCCGGCCCCGGCCCGGGCTCGTGCTCCCGTCCGACGCTGGCACGCTCAGGATGCTGAGGAGCAGGAGCCAGGCCGGGCAGGCCCCGCGGAGGGCATCTGTCTTGGAGAAGTTGGGGCGGGGGCGGTAAACAAAATGAAACCCTCGGGATCGGCCTAGCCCCCGGCCCCGCCGTCGGCCGGGCCGCAGCCCATCCGCCGGGGCCCCGCCTCCTGCGCGGCCGGCCCGCAGCCCATCCGCCGGGGCCCCGCCTCCTGCGCGGCCGGCCCGCAGCCCATCCGCCGGGCCCCGCCTCCTGCGCGGCCGGCCCGCAGCCCATCCGCCGGGCCCCGCCTCCTGCGCGGCCGGCCCGCAGCCCATCCGCCGGGGCCCGCCTCCTGCGCGGCCGCCGCAGCCCACATCAAAGATGGCGGCCCCGGCGTCGTGACACGCGCGGTGTCACAGTCGTCGCGGATCGTGACGTCATCCGGGCTCGCCGGCAGTGCGGAGTGTGTCTCTCCGAACCCCCTCACGCGGCGTCGGCGGCGACATGGCCGAGGCTGCCGTCCGCGTGAGCGGCTTCAAAGCCAAGTGAGCGCGGGAGCTGGGGCGGGGGCCTCCTCCGGAGAGCGGCGGGCTCGCGGCCGGCCTGGGGTCGTGGGCGAGGCTGCGGCGACCGAAGGCGGGAGAGCCGGAGCCGGGCGGGGGTGCGGGGTGCGGGGAGCGGGGAGCAGGACCGGGGTGCGGGGAGCGGGGAGCGGGGAGCGGGGCGGGGGAGCGGGGAGCAGGACCGGGGTGCGGGGAGCGGGGCGGGGGAGCCGGCCTGGACCGGTCGGGCTGGGCGGCCAGCGCCCGGCTAGACGGAGCAGGAGGATGAGGAGGTGGCACTCGGCTGAGGAGGGTCGAGAAACGAGAAGGCGACGGGGCGGGGGGAGCTGAGCACAAATGGGGGAGGCCTGGGTGGCGGCGGGCTGGGGCTCTCTCGCCTCTGTCGCCTTGCTTCTGGAGAGGTAGGGGGTGGGGCCGAAGTGGTCTAGGGGTCTCCGAGGCCTTGGTTCCTAGCCACCCAAACGGCGAAACCTAACCGACTCGGACCGTGGATGAAGCATGTCCTCAGCAGCCCATTGGCTTAGGTTGTGACAAGTTCGGTGCTGAACAGCCCTTCCATTGGAGGATTGGGAGGGGTACAGAAGATGGGGGAGGGGGGCAGGCGGGCTTTCTGGAACTTTGGATCTGAGAGGAGAGCCCATAGTACATACATACCAGGCCACAGAAGATCTGTCCCGAAGGTGAGCAGACATGATCAGTAGGGTTGAAAGAGTTGGAAGGGAACTAGTAACCAGCCATCCGGAAACGACAGTAGCCTGGACAAAGGCAGAGTGGAGATGGCAGCAGGAGGCAGGCCATAAAAACAATGGGCTGCCAGCTGGGCATGGTGGTGCATGTCTGTAATCCCTGCGGCAGGAGGATCAGGAGTTACAGGCCAGGGGACAGATACGTGGTGATGCCCAAAAATGGGAGGGAGCGGAGGAAGAGGAAAAGAAATAGGGGCTGCTTTGGGGTGTTGGGTCAGGTGAGGAAGTCAGGGAGAGAACCATGGTGGGGATCGGGTGTGCTGGGCCTCACTGGTGAAGACCCAGGAGAGGACGGTACCCTACTTAGACTGGGTTACCTGGATTGGCCTCCCACATTCAACAAGGAGCCCCCAGGACTCTAAAGACTGGAGAGTCGAGCTGCCTCCCTGGGATTGATGCCTGCCTCTGCTAGGCTTCAGGGCCCCTGTGGATAACCAGCCAGCCCTGGGTCTCAGCCCCTCCACCTACCCCCAGGACTGCCTCATTGTCCCTCAGGATCTCTGATGCTGTTACGGTCCTAGCACTCTGACAGATCAGGGGCGTGGAAATGCAGGTGACTGATACTTCCCTCTCCTCTTCCCAGCTATGCTGTTGAACGGAAGATCGAGCCTTTCTACAAGGGTGGAAAAGCACAGGTATCAGCCTCAAGGCCAGTGGGGGCTGTGCATTGAGTCCTGAGCGAGCGCTACCTTGGCTGACACCTCTCTGTTTCCAGCTGGATACGACTGCCCAGCACCTCTTCTGCATTTGTGGCACCAGACTCAATGTCCTGGATGTCGCCTCGGGGTCTGTACTTCGGAGCCTGGAGCAGGTGAGAGGAGAGTGGACAGGTTTGAGAGTGGGGGAGGGAGGAGGGACGCAGGCTAATATGCTACTCTCTTCATTCTTCCCTTAGGAGGACCAAGAAGACATCACTGCCTTTGATCTCAGCCCGGATGATGAGGTACAGGTGGCAGGGGTGGGGAGTGGCCCTCAAGGGACAAGGGCGCCTCACACCCAGTTGAACTGTGCTCTCTCCCAGACGCTTGTGACAGCCAGCCGGGCACTGCTGCTGGCTCAGTGGACCTGGAGGGAGGGCACCGTGACCCGCCTGTGGAAGGCAGTACACACAGCCCCTGTGGCCACCATGGCCTTTGACCCCACCTCCACACTGCTGGCCACAGGTAGGGCCCAGCCCAGTGGGCGGGCTGGAGGGGGGCCTTGCACACCCTCCCTCACACGTGTGCCTGTAGGAGGCTGTGACGGGGCGGTGCGCGTCTGGGATGTTGTGCGGCACTACGGGACACACCACTTTCGAGGCTCACCGGGCGTTGTGCAGTGAGTGGGGGAGGCGGAGGGCGGGGGGGGGGCTGCCGAACCATCCGTGGGCCGCGTACCTCACCACCCACCCCCAACCCGCCTGCAGTTTGGTAGCCTTCCATCCGGACCCCACTCGCCTGCTGCTCTTCTCCTCAGCTGCGGACTCCGCCATCCGTGTGTGGTCCCTCGAGACCCGCCTGTGCCTGGCCCTGCTGACCTCCCACTACAGCGCTGTCACCTCGCTGGCCTTCAGTGCTGACGGCCACACCATGCTCAGGTTAGCAGCCGTCCGCGGAGGGAGCGGGTGGGAGGGCAGCACTGGACCTGAGGGAGCCGCTCCTCTTCAGCTCCGGCCGAGATAAGATCTGCACCGTCTGGGACCTCCGGAGTTGCCAGGCCACAAGGACCGTGCCCGTGTTTGAGGTAGGCGGGCACAGGGGCCGTGCCAGGGAGTCGGCTGGGAAGGAGGGGTGGCTTGGCTGCAGTCTTTTAACCCAGGTCACCCGCAGAGTGTGGAGGCTGTGGTGCTGTTGCCTGAGGAGCCAGTGTCTGCGCTGGGAGTGAAGAACTCGGGCCTGCACTTCCTGACAGCTGGTGACCAAGGTGTGTATGGCTGACCACGAGCAGGCTGCAGGGGCGGGGGGCGGGCCGGGGGCCTGAGTCCCAGCGGCCCCTGTCCTCACACAGGAATTCTGCGCGTGTGGGAGGCGGCTTCCGGGCAGTGCGTGTACACCCAGCCACAGCCGCCAGGCCCAGGGCGGGAGCTGACCCACTGCAGCCTGGCGCGCGGCGCTGGCCTGCTCCTCAGCGTCACCGCTGACCACAACCTGCTGCTGTATGAAGCCCGCTCCCTGCAGCTGCAGAAACAGGTGAGCGCCTGCCCCTGACGGGCCCGGGGTTGGGGTCCCAGCTCTCTGCTCACCAGGCCCTTCACCTCCATAGTTTGCTGGCTACAACGAGGAGGTCCTGGATGTCCGGTTCCTCGGGCCCAAGGACTCCCACGTAGTCGTGGCCTCCAACAGCCCCTGTCTGAAAGTGTTTGAGCTGCAGACGTTGGCCTGCCAGATCCTGCACGGCCACACAGGCAAGTGTGGCTCCTGGAACCTTACCCCTCACCCTGTGCCCCCTAACCTTGCCGGCACCATTGCTGACTGCTCCCCACTCCCCTCCCAGACACAGTCCTGGCCTTAGATGTGTTCCGGAAGGGGTGGCTCTTTGCCAGCTGTGCCAAGGTGAGTTCCCATGAGAGGTGCAGAGGCGTGGGCCTCTCCGGTGGGGGGCGCCAGCGTGGCAGCACCGTACCCCACCTCTCTCCTCAACCCCTCCCGCCCCCAGGATCAGAGCATCCGCATCTGGAGGATGAACAAAGCTGGCCAGGTGGACTGCGTGGCTCAGGGCTCTGGGCACACGCACAGCGTGGGCACCATCTCCTGTTCTAGGTAGCCTGGTATAGGGGGCTGAATCTGGGGGGGGGGGGGGTGCGGAAGCCCAGAGCTGTCAGAGGTTCTAGTTGGGGAGGGGAGAGGCGGCGGTGGCTGAGCTGCCCTTGTAGGTCCTCATTGCTGTGAGGGGTTTCTAGACGTGACGCTGAGCAAGGTCCGGGAAAGAAAGTGACTCCTGCAGCTATGGCCTGGGTCCGATTAGGACACGGTTGAAGGGGCGGATGGGTACAGGCAGGGGGACCAGAAACATTTTGGAGTGACACAGGCTAGGGTCTGGACCATGGCTTAGAGGCCAGAGCGGAGGTGTGCGTGCGGATAGTCCTCGGCAGAGCCTCCTTCCCGTCGCTGCAGGCTGAAGGACTCCTTCTTGGTGACGGGCAGCCAGGACTGCACGGTGAAGCTGTGGCCCCTCCCCGAAGCCTTGCTATCTCAGAGCACAGACCCAGGTGGCAGCCCCGTGCTCCTGCAGGCGCAGACCACCCAGCGCTGCCATGACAAGGTGACCAAGTGGGCCCCTGGGAAGTGGGCGTGGCTGAGGCCTGGCTTGGACCGTGATCTGAGCTGCCACCTGTACCCGTCACCAGGACATCAACAGCGTGGCCATCTCCCCCAACGACAAGCTGCTGGCCACCGGCTCACAGGACCGCACCGCCAAGCTCTGGTCCCTGCCACAGTGCCAGCTGCTGGGTGTGTTCTCGGGCCACCGACGC